GTGTGTGTGTCGTGTGTGTCGTGCGGTTGGCGTACCCGCGTCGTATAATCGGGTTCGGTATTTGAACAGCGCGAGGCAGTAGACGCCCAGGCAGTACAGGCACGACAGCGCAACGAACCCGAGGAACAAGAACGTCCAGTAGTCGTCCTCAAACCAACACCTACCCATCAGGCGTGGCCCATCAACGAAACGACGCTGTGCGCAGTGCGTGTGTGCGGCGTGTGCGGCGTGTGCGTGCGTGTGCGTGTGCGTGTGCGGTGTGTGCGGTGTGCGTTGTGCGGCGGTGCGTGTGCGGTGCGTGCGGTGCGTGTTGTGTCGTACTGCCACAGGCCGTGCTCCTGGTGGTGGAAGATGGTGGGCCAGATCGTGATGGCGAGAGGGATGCCCCAGGCGGCGATGTGGTAGCACAACTCTGCCGTTGTTTGTTGTTGGTTGGTTGGTTGCGTGAGGACCAAGCTTGGTGCGCGAGCAAGAGCCGGGCAGACGCTCCAGACGAGGCCCCGCCAGGGAGGTACCTTGGCGCACGGAGGAGGGCTGGGGAATGACCAGCTCGCCGAACTGGTTCACCCGCGCCCGGTACCACATCGACAGCATCTCTGCCCAAACAGGAGAGTGACATAATTATTTTCATTTAATAATTGTTTTAAAAAAAAGACAATGTCAAGACGTAGGTTCTAAATTATGGCCTTTAACAAATAATTCTATTTGTTTATTTTAAGATTAAATTAAAATTGCCTCTTTATTTAATTGAATATATTATTATTATGGGCAAAGAAGTACCGGTGGCGATGACGGAGGTCCAGAGGAAGGAGGCGAGGAAGAGATAGTAGCGGAGCGGGGCGAGGACCTGGCATGTGACGGCGGAGACCTCGTCCAGGGGTCCCCCGATGAGCCAGCAGACGGAAAGGAGGAGGTGGCAGAGCGAGAGGGAGAGGACCAGGCGGTGGGTGATTTGTTTCCAACGCGATTTGAAGAAGGCCAGAAAGGAGATGAAGATGAAGATGCTGCCGATGAGGGACAGGAGGCTCGAGACGAAGCTGCATAACGAAAACACCCTCCGTTCGTCCTGGCTCCACTCTATTGTCATGCCTTGCGTGTGCACCAACCTTCAGTAGTGGTGAGGTTGACCTGGTGTGCAACGTGGTAAACGTGTTCTCTATTTGTCGCCAGTAATATGGTTGGCTTTCTTTTCTCGGGTTTTGAAATTTGTTGCACGCACTGCGCCAGGGCACAACGTGTGGTGATGATGGTATTGGTGACTTGGACATTGAGGAGTGGCCACTCCAGTGTGAGGAAAAATGGAACTGGCTGGAGGATGAGGTACACCTAAAACCACAGACATGTGGAGATGATGAAGTATCTACCTCTGCACAAACAGATGGGAGGCTCCATCAAAGACATGAAGGGATATCCATGCATGGAAGAACTATGGCATTCAATATTGGTGCTTGATTCACCTCCCACTTCAGCAGATCACCCCATGCACACTGCACAGATAATGAATGTGATGCTCAAGCTCTTCATGCTCCACCTTAGCAACACCAGCACAAACAATCTCCTGTCTCAAGCACAGGCCAAGTTTAACCTCATCATGGCCTGGAGCAGAGCCAATCAGCAAACAGCAATGGCAAAATGAAGCAAAATACTGGGTCAGATGATCATCAAGCTCTACAGACCCTACCTGCATGTCTTTGTCTATCACAGAAATTACCTTGAGTAATACAGCAGCCACAAGCACTGGAGGGCAAGCACTCAATGAACCTTTGGTCCACTGAGACCGGTGGGTGCTGGGGGAGGGAGTGGCCTGGCCAAAGGTGCTAAACAAGGCTTCTTGCTGTCCCATACATGCACTGTAGGACTGATAGGTCAATCATTGGCAACATACCTCATAAATCTGAACATAAACCAGCATGCTTGGTTGTAAAAAGAGATTTGGTTGTGGGTAATGCAATCTGTAGCACCATAACTAAAAATTGGACCAGCTCATCACAAGGTGCCAGTTTATGTCCAGTGAGAACTTGACAAAACCTCAGCAACCAGAGGTAGCAGGATTGGGGCGCCATGGCGCAGTCGGCACCGCGCTCCCCTAGTAAGGGAGAGATCATGGGTTCGATTCCCATTGGCGCCATCCTACTCTTTTTGCTCCAACCCTTGATGAACCTTGCTCCATCTTCAATATCCTGCAGGACAGCTAGGTCACACTCCTGGAGCAGGAATTGAGCACAGCAATATTGTTTCTGAAATTCCAAGGGCAGAGGAGCACTTTCAGGTGAACTCTCACCTGCTGTGTAGAAAAAAGCCTGGTGTGCAACAGAAAAGTAGGGTGTGCAAGAGTACACAAGCTTTTGCACCTCCACACCACAAGTTTCAGAAACATGAATACACCAAATAAAGAAAACCACCCACAGGTGATGTGCACATAAAACAATGTTCTCTGGGGCACAAATCAACCAGCCCTGTTCAGTCCTGTTGTGTTTGTCCTGAAAAACTTGGCAAACTAGCAACTCGCAAAATACCACGGGGGCGTAGTTCAATTGGTAGAGCGTCTGACTCCAGATCAGAAGGTTGCGTGTTCAAGTCACGTCGTCCTCATAACTTTTTCTAGTGCTTGTTGTCTCATTTCAGTTGGTAACGCCTTCCTTTCGAAAGAAAAAGAAGACGAAGAACAAGCAGTCCTATTTGGCACGCTCACATTTTCTTTTCTTCCTGACGCCACCTTATCATCCCTTCGTGCCCCAATGCCCCTTAGTCCCAAAGTGAGAGTGTCCACCGAAGGCGCCATCCACGGCAACGGTACTGCTCCGGACAAGGAAGTGGCGGTGCAATCTTTATTTTTATTTACATTTACATTTTTTATTTTTATTATTATTATTTTTATTTTTATTTTTATTTTTATTTTTATTTTTTGTTTGTAATGGTTGCGTGCCGGGGTTAGGGTGGTTTGCGACCGAGGACCTCAAGGAGGGGGGAGGTCATCTGGTTCATGGAGTCGTGGCTTGAAGACAAGGTGACGACCTCCCTTCAAGCAGAAAGTAGGGAAAAATTGTGTGGTTAGTGCGTGTGTCTCAGGCAATGCTGTGGTGCGGTCAAG